GGCAAGGGCTATACGGCCTGGGCGAAGGCGAGCGGCGAGGAGTCTGGAGCCCTGGAGTCCTGGGCCCTGGAGCCTGAGGCCCAGAGGCCTGGGGCCCTGAAGTCAAAATGTTCAGTTCAGAGGTGGTCGGCAAGACATGATCGACGACAATATGTGCGACCCTGAGACGTTTGAGCTGACATACCGATGGGCTGCGGAAAGAAGGAACGCTAAAACAAGGAACGAAGCCCCTTGTTGGCCCTGCAAGCGCCTACGTGCCCCAGGAGGGCAAGAGGGACAGCACTGGAGGAACCTAAGGAACATCGAGCCCCCTCCGAACCCAAACTGTTCCTTGTGTCAGCGTCTTGGCTATACGGCATCACGCTTGAGCCGATGCAGCCGTCATTGCCACCAGAGGCGCCCGAAGTCGGATCGTGGGGGCGATGCTGGTGGCGGGTGGAGCCCCGTCAGTTACACGAGCGCATCGAGTCTGTACACAACGGGCACCCTACATCGTGCCGCGTGGGGTGGCCCATGGTCCAGCTCAGTCCGACGACGGGGTGGCCGATCAGAGCACGCGATGGTGGACTACCAGGGGTTGATCAAAGTGTCCCACGCGGGACAAGATATGCAGGGCTCAAGGCCTTACAGTACATGTAAAGACCAGGGATGGTGGTTTCTGATCACAAGGAGTTTGGTGGATAGGCGACCAGTCGGGATGCCTACCTGGCCAGCTCTTCGTGCAAACATGCGGCCATCTGGAGGGCCATATTCCACCTCTTGTCGGGATGATGAACAACGCTGCCGCTTCGAAAGGGTTCCCTCTCATCAAGAGGTGCTGGACTTTGTCGAGGATGGTGGCAGTTTCGCCCACGCGGTGGGCAACGCATGGGCAGACGTGTTTACATATGGCGGTGCATGTGATGTGAAAGTTGCGGACACATTGGCAGACAATCACAAGGGTCTGCTGAAGCTGTCGGTGGACGCCGCCAGATTTCTTAGATTCATGGTGTCTCGTGCAGTGAAAATGTACCAGGCCGTGGGAGAAGCTACGCCAATGCCGCTCAACGTGACCCCTAAGCCCGCTGCGGAGCTCTGGCTGAACATGATTTGAATGCTGTTGATGATGTGCTTGTGCGT